CGCTTCCCTACTTCGTTTAGTTCTTTCGACATCGTCTCCGCTTCAGCGATATTCCTCGAGAAAAGAACAATGTCATCCGCGAAATGAACGTTCGAGAGGAATCTTCTATCAACTCGCATCTCCCTTGTTTCAATCCTGATTTTATCACCAACTGCAAGGAGCGGCGTCTCTCGGCAAACCTCGATAATCCTCGAAACGTCTGGATATGATTCACGCAGCTAAATCCCTTACAAAATCAGTTTGTTCTACTGGTTGAACTTCATCCACTGTCCTTGATATGCGAGTGAGAATAATCTTAGTAAAGAGCTTGTCAAGCACGCTCAACAGGCTATTGGACGGTAATTCCGCTGGTCCTCCCTATCGCCCTTCTTATGAAGTAGGATAGTTCGGGAGGTTTTCCAGTGGTCAGGGATACTTTTTCCATTGAAGGTAACACGTTAGGTGCGCCACATATATCCCGTATAGGCAACGTCCTTCAGCTCGTAAGACGTTGGCCGATGTGGTCCGGTTACGGAGCCGTGGTAGCCTTCATGGTCTGGATTGAGACGCGTACCTCAGCAAATACAATCCGTGGTGGTATTTCTCCAGTGGGGTAACGGGGTTGCCACGGAGGTTGATGAACGGAAGAGATCGGCGTAGAATCTCTTCGTGCGTTGATTCGTTTAGTAAATTAGCGGAGCGTAGTCGAGAAGTTTCCTGTGGTATTCCTTTAAACTTCTCCTTTCTTGTGCTGCTTCCAAAGTTTCGATTACTTGTACTTTCGAAGATCCTCTTATACACTGTTCTGCAACTGATAATGGCCGCCATTCGCTCAAGGTGTGATACAGTCGGATCCAGCCTCAGCGCTCTCCTCCTCTCTAGCAAATCTTGGTGGATTCGGAAATCCGTTCCAAGCTTGTTCGAAGCATTGAGGCAATTTCATCACGGGTCCTCAGTCTTCTGAAAAGCAGGTTTAGTGCTTCGTTAAGTCCTCCTCGATGAGCCAGTCACAATTGATCAGGAGCTCCTCCAATTTGACGTCTATATATATATATATGCCTTCTCTCCTTCCACACGGCGACAGACCTTCTTTTCCAACTATCGGCAGTCGCACTTTTGCGGAGGCGGTGATCTGAACCACTGCTGAAGGATGGTACCACTGAGACGTCCAGTAAGCACCACCCGGTTGGTGAGAATGTGATTGATCTCCGCATGAGTCGTACCATTGGGTGATAACCCATATGTCCACCGCCGGTGCTCTTTTATCATGAAGATATTGCCATGAAAAGTCGTGCGGCAGATAAGAGGTCATCAAGACGGTTTCCGTTTGCATTCCTGAATCTTAATCCAAATCTCCCGATTCTCCCTATCCTATGTTCCCGTTCTTCTGACATCATGATTTTCGCACTGAAGTCACCCACGACAAACTTGTAAAAGGGCTTCTTTTTGCATCATACAAATCGACAAGATGGACAACATGCGACAAATCCATGCTTTCAACGTTCCGTAATGGAACGTTCTCATCACCAATGATGACTGTGCCACCACTCAGCTGCTTCACGTCCATCTTCTGGAGGTTGTTTCCTGCAAGGCGTTTACGTGGTAGTTTATGCGCCTTCCAATTTCAAGAAGGGCGTGACTGGCGCTGGTGGATCTCAGCTTGGGAGACTCTGCTAGAGGATAAACCTCCGCTGTACTTCGCAGTTCAACACCTATCACCCCAGCGCCACGAGGCAGACCATCACGGGATATCAAACATTCTCCGGGTCGAAATCATGATGACAAAACAGTTACGTTGTTCACAATAACGCCACGCAATTTTGAAAAGTAAGAATTGAATATATTCGACTATAACAGACGCAAAATATAGATGTGTTGTTTGTTCGTATTTTCGCAGTTTCAAACGTAAATACTGGCATAGACTAGTTGCTGAAATTACTTTCAGAAGTATCTCAACGAAGCTATTGCACTGAATGCCGAATCGTACGAGTTTCTTCACATGAGGGGACGACTTGCATATCAGGTCAGCTTGGAACAAAATCAATCACATGCTAGCAATTTACATTAGCATATTGCCAGTAAACCATATGAATCTCTACAAATGGTTTCTAGTGAGACCAAAAAGTTTTCTCGTCGCACATTTTTTCAGGTGTCGACATTGGGAACCATGGAAAGAACGGTCGCACGCGCCATTGGCTGCCTCCCGGAGACCAGCTTGCAACAAGCACTAGAGGATCTGCTTGCGGTTTATCTCTTTCTCTTACAATAATAACAAACAAATTAAAAATTGCTCTGTAGGCTGAAAACGCTTCACCAAATGAAATCGAGAACGTTTTTTTCTTGGGGAAAACTTACGATGCATTAGGGGATTATAAGAATGCAGAAATTTATCTCAAAAAAGTAACGTCATTTTAATTTAAGTCTTTTTAAAACTAAGTTCTGATGACTTTATGTTTTCTAAAAAATAATTCAGGTGTTGACGATTCCAACGGATCCGAACTGCATGGTAGAGCTCGAATACGCACAAGAAGCCAGAGAAATGCTTAATGGACCAAACTACTCTCATGATTCATAAAGCTATCAACAAATTTAATAAAGAAGTTTTTTGTTTGCAAACATAACGTCAACAAAAATAAAACATGAAAGAACGTTTAGACAGAAAAGAACTTACTTACAGAACGGATGATGAACGGAAGAGACTTACTTTGCTAGAGTAGTAACAAATTATGGCAAGCAGGTCGTGCTGTTCGTTTTCAGAATCAATGAAAAGATATCAGGTGAACTGTTTGATAGGCCACACCAAGCTCGCAAAATAAATTGGAGTTCTTGAAGATAGGCAAAAATGTTAGGACGGTTGTTAGATAAATAGTTCTCACGGCTTTCGTTCACTAAGCTATTTCCTCATCAAGAGGAAAAACGACGTTTTCTTGCCTGGTATCAATTATCTAATTACAGATGTTATGTACAGGCTTAAGGTCCAGCCACGCCTCAGAATTTGAGATCAGCTATCAATATCAACTTGTCAAGGAAATTAAGCGATGTGATGCTTTTTCGCTAGAACTGTGAAGTCTATTTTTTTGCTAAATTTTCCTAAGAATTTCTTATTTCCTTTTCTGCAGCAAAGTGACCCTTCCACTAAAGCTTTTTGTCAAACGAGTAGCCCTCTTTCGCTCGTCAACACCCGTGTCAAACCCCGTTATTCCCACTGTATAAATACTACCACGGATTCCACCTGCTGAAGTACGCGCCGCAATCCAGACCATATCACTGAAGCAGAGACGATGTTGAAGGAACTAAACAAAGTAGGGAAGCAAA